TCGATACCTTCTTCTTAGTTGAAACATTTGACCATTAATCTAGCCTTGTTTCTAACCATGATACCAGATTCATCTTGCTTGTTTCTAAAGACTCATTTAGTACCAATAACTAAATGGTCATTTGGCCTAGGAACAAGCTTCCACACCTCATTTCTCTCAAATTGATTTAACTCATCTTGCATTGTGATAATCCATGAATCATCTTTTATAACTTCGTCAATACATTTAGGTTCAATTTGGGAGAGAAGAACGTGTTTGAACCCTTTTAAATGTGTCTCCTATGATTAACTCCTTAGGATGAGCATCTACATACTTCCAATCCTTGGGTAAGGATGTTTCGGAAGTAGATGCATCCAAGTTGCTAGTTAGAGAAGGGGTTTTATTTAAATTCAAAGTATCAAAGTTAACATCATCATCAAAATCATTTTTCTTAATTTCAAAAATCTCATTAAAAACAACATGAATGGATTCTTCTATAATCAAGGTTCTTTTATTAAAGTTACGAAATACTTTAGAAATCGAAAAATAGCTAAGAAAAATTCCTTTATCGGACTTAGCATCAAATTTTGCTAAGGCATATTTTTCATTCAAGATAAAACACTTACACCCAAAAACTTTAAAATATGAAACATTAGGTTTTTTTGTTGTTCCACAACTCATAAGGAGTTTTGGTGAGTAAGGGTCTTACTAGAACTCTACTCATGACATAGCATGTTGTGTTTACGGCTTCGGCCCAAAAATATTTGGGTAGACTATGTTCATTCAACATGGTTCTAGTCATTTCTTATAAATTTCTATTCTTTCTTTCTACTACTCCATTTTGTTGAGGATTTCTTGGAGCAGAGAAGTTGTAGTTGTATCCATTAGATTCATAAAATTCTTGGAAATCACGGTTTTGAAATTCACCACCGTAATAACTTCGAATTGATAAAATCATAAAACCCTTTTCATTTTGAACACATTTGCAAAACTTAGAGAAATACCTAAAGCATTCACTTTTGTGTGCCAAAAAATAAGTCTATATGTATCTACTATAATCATCTACAATGACAAAAGCGTATTTGCTACCTCCTAGGCTTGATGTAGAAATTAGTTCGAACAAGTCCATATAGATCAATTACAAAGGTCTAGAGGTTCTTAATTGATTCTTGGGTTTGAAGTTACTTTTTATTTGTTTTCCTAATTGACAAGCATCACACACATTATCTTTGACGAACTTGATATGAGGAATTTTTTTTACAAGTTCTTTAGTTGAAAGTTGGGTGATTAGTTTCATGCTAGCATGACCTAATCTCCTATGTCAAAGCCAAGCATCATCATTCAAAACCAAAAAATATATTTCATTGCAAAGATCATTAATGTCAATGGTATATACGTTATTTTGTTTTAATGCAATCATAGATATGTTTTTGTGTGGTTTTTCAATAATGCAAGCATTAGATTCAAATTTAACAATATATTCTTTATCACATAATTGACTAATACTCAAGAGGTTATGTTTTAAACTATCTACTAACAAAGCATCTTCAATAAAGAAGTTGGATTTGTTACCTATGGTTCCTTTGCCAATGATTTTGCCCTTGTTGTTATCTCCGAAGGTGACATATCCTTCGTCTATGCTAGTGAGCTTAGAGAATTAAGATGGATCTCCGGTCATATACCTTGAGCATCCACTATCAATGTATCATCTCTTGCTCCTAGCTTGTGATGGGACGTTTCTACAAAAGAGGATGATATTTAGGTACCCATTTGACCTTGGGTGCCTTAAAAATCAATCTATATTGTTTATCATATTGCATTGATCTTTCTTGGGTTCAAATTTATTTATTTTAATATATTTTTTAAATTTTCTTGTTAAAAGTGCAAAGTCATTATCAAAGTCCTCATCACTTGAGTTTTCTCTCAAGTGGTCTTCTTGTGTTCTTAGTGTCATATCCTTCCTGTTCTTTGGAAGGGTGTCCTCAAGCTTTTCATGAGCTTTGCATGTCATTTCATAGGTAATTAATGACCCAATTAATTCTTCAAGAGGAAAGTTGTTTAAATCTTTGGCCTCTTGAATGGTCGTGACTTTAGGGTCCCAACTCTTTGGAATAGATCTTAAAACTTTATTAACGAGCTCAAAATTTAAAAAAATTTTACCAAGTCCTTTTAAACCAATGACAATATTCATAAAATGGGTATATATGTCTCCAATGGTCTCACTCAGTTTCATTCGAAATAATTCATAAGAATGTACTAAAAGATTGATTTTTGACTATTTAACTCTACTCATGCCTTCGTGAGTCACTTCGAGTGTGTGCCAAATATCAAAAGTCGTTTCACAAATCGAAATACGGCTGAACTCATTTTTATCTAGTGCATAAAATAAGGCATTCATAGCCTTTGCGTTTAAAGTGAAAGTCTTCTTCTCCAATTCATTCCAATCGATCATTGGAAGATAAGACTTCTGAAATCCATTTTCTACAATGGTCCAAAGTTCAAAATCCACAGAAATTAGGAAGATCCTCATTCGAGTCTTCCAATAGGTGTAATCCATCTCATTGAACATGGGTGGACATATAATTGAGTGACCCTCTTGATTTCTGGCAAATGTCATCTCTCTTGGTTTTTAAGCCAACTAAGAGTGAACCTCGCTCTGATACCAATTGTTAGGATTAAGAGCACACTAAGAGGGTGGGGTGAATTAGTGCAACGGAAAACTTTCGCTATTTCAAAAACCTTGTTTCGATTAAAGTCGATTCAACGAGAATGATTTCAACTCAATTCATTTCGGAAGGAATTTGAACTTAAAGTCTTAAGTGAAAATGCAAGAGAGCACTAAGGTGATTTACAACAATGTAAATCACACAAATGAAAAAAAACATAGATTTCGTAAAGTCTTCGTAGAAAGCCGATCTCGAAAGATGTTTCACATCAAAGCAAATGTAAAAGTATTTAAAGCACAGTAAGGAGGAGAGGCAGTTTGCTATAAAGGAAAGATGCTCAAAGTAAATGCAAACTGAGATTTTAGAGTGGTTTGATCAACATGACCTACATCCACTATCCGCTTCCTCCTCTGCCGAGGTTATCGGTGTCTACTAGAGGCCTTCTTTTAATAAGCAAAGGCCAATCACCCTTTTACAATGTTTCTCCTTTTGCCGGGCTTAGGAGACAACCCTTACAAGTTTTCACTCCTCTCTTGGATGATCTCAACACTTAGAAAGAAGGAGGAGAACTCTAACTTTTATAATACTTTAAGGCCTCAAGACTCAAGAGTATTTCAAGAATTTTGTTGCCCTTTCATGCAGGAAAGGGTGGGATATTTATAGACCCTATTGGTATTAAAAAATAGAGCCTAAAAGTGTCCAATCCCAGATTTTTGGGGTCTTGGCGATACCACCACCATTACTGGGTGGTACTACCACCTGTCATCGGGCACTAGGCGGTACCACCACTCAGTTTGGGTGGTACTACCGCCTGACAGTGCTCGAAGACCGAGCTCAGACGGTACCACCGCTTGACAGGGGCGGTACCACCACCCAGAAATCTTGGGAGACTGAGTCTCCCAGACGGTGCCACCGCCGGCTAAGATTTTAGGGACCGAATGGGCTATTCCATTCAGCCCAATTTGAGTCTGTTAAGGGCCCAGTTGGCCCCTGATTAAGTTAGTGGGATCACCTCCCAATCCTAACTTAATTTACACTCTAACTACGATAATTAAGATATCATTACTATAATTTGTGTTTCGGTGCATCAACCGCTTCCTCCGGCGAACATTCGACGAACTCTCGGTGATACTCCGACGGACTCTAGGCAAGCTCCTAGACTTTGCAACGATCTTCTTGGTGAGTTCCGACGAGCTTCTATGGCAAGCTCCTGGACTTCTCGACTGGTTCCCGTAGAACTTCCGATGAACATCCGAACTTCTAACGAACTCTCTTACTGCCATTGTAGTCAATCCTGCACACTTATCTCAACATATAAATTAGATAAATAAATGACAATTGACTTCATCATCAAAATCCGAGATTCAACACTATCAACCACAAAAGCAGAATACATAGCATTTACTGAAGCCTGCGAGAAAACTTTATGGATGAAAATGTTTCTATAGGTATTATGCTTGAAACAGGAATGATATGCTGTTTATTGTGACAATTAGAGTATCATTCACCTCTCCAAAAATTCAACATACCATTCTAGATCTAAGCATATTGATGTGAGATATCACTGGATTCGTGATGTGCTTGAGATGAAAGAACTATAATTGGAAAAGGTGCATACCAATGAGAATGGATCAGATATGTTGACAAAGTCTTTGCCTAAGGAGAAGCTTGAAGCATGTAGGCGAAGAGCGAGCTTAGTACAACCCACCATATTAGCTGAAGGGGGAGAATTGTTAGGTACAACACATATGTGAGCTTGAAGCATGTAAGCCCAAATCTAATTTATCAAAAAAAAAAAGAATGAGATGTGTGCAATTGAGGGCAGTGAACGAGGTGTGCGTGCAGCGAGCGAACAGTGGCGGCACACGGGGAGAGAAAAGAACATAGAGAAAAAAAAAAGATTTGAGCTTTCTGCTTGACGACGAAGGGTTAAACTTTATCAGTTTTGACCTAAATTATATGTGGAGAATCCTTGTAGTAAGTTCTACAATCCTAATGGTGCTGATCTACAGTTTATCCTCTCTGAAGTATTTTCCTACTATATCTACTTTGTGAGACCTAGAATTCTTGATCATCCATGTAATGTGTTGATGATATGCTATTCTTGAGCCAAGATATTATGATCCTGGAAGTTTGAGGTGGACTACGATCGCATAGTTTTTTCCGCATTAGATTTTTCACGTTAAAAATTTGGTCTTACTATATGATTGATTTATTACTCTACTATTTTAATATGTGTTTTTGATAACAAGTTACTATTTTGATGAGAAACTCATTTTAATACACGAAAAATAATTATTCCAGTTTAACATATTTTTTCCAACTAGGATTACATGCGTTTGTCCTCACCACTTCTCATCTTCCCGTAAAGATGCCACTGAAGACTTGGCTGTTGCCACCGAGTGATGCTTCCCACTCTATAGAAGCCATCACTATCTGTGATAGGTTCGTTGTGATCTCCCTCATCTCAGGTCTGCTTACGGGATCATCACTCAAACACCACATCGCCACGTCCACCATCTAAAAATGGATCACCGACAGGCCATTACTGCATCAGTATCACAGAAATAATGCAAGCGTTGTAGCACTTAACCATGGAATACGAACCTTCCGTACTTCTTCCGTAGGGTAGACATGATCAAGATTTCGATCGATGATCTCTTCCAGAGCAGCATTCGGATCGTCCGAGGCGGAAACTTCTTTCATCTGATGCGGTTTAATTATGACATGATTAGCAGTTAATTGTTACGTAGAATTCTCAAGCTGGAGGAGAGAGAGCTCGAAGAACAGCGCTTACAGCTGTAACCAGTGATCTCATCTTGCAAGCATCTTTCTTGTCGGGAATGAGAGCTCTTTCTCCCGTAACAAGCTCAGCAAGAACAACTCCAAAGGCAAACACATCGGATTTGGTGCTCATCTGAAGCTCCCTAACAGACCTGACGACAGAACAAAACGCAATAGATCAAAGGAAACCACTTCATCACGAGAGACTACTGAATGATATCCATACGAACTCTGGTGGAAGGTAACCAGGAGTTCCAACCAAGCGAGTCGCGAAACACCAGTCCTCATCACTTTGCTCCACAAGCTTTGCCAACCCAAAGTCTGCAACCTGTTCCAAGAACCAATGAGAAGAACACATGAAGAACCTTAAGGGGTGGGCCAATGCAGGTACTCACTTTTGCTCTCAGCACACTATCCAGCAGAATGTTACTGGTCTTTATATCGCGATGAACGCAGGTGGCTTTGGTGTGTTCATGGATGTACTCGATTCCCCTGGCAGCATCCAATCCGATTTGTGTTCTTGCAGTCCATGAGATAGGTTGATGACCTGCTGGGGCGGTGGTTTCATATATATGCTTTCAGTTTGCATTGCACTGTCGAAGATTATACTGAGGAAGGCGATTGCTTGGGTGCTAACCTTTGAGCAGTGGATCATGGAGATGGTCGCTCAAGGAGCCATTCTGAAGATACTCGTAGACCAAGTAAAGGTGGTCATCTCCTGCTGCATAACCAATCAGTTCAACCTGACAAAAGACTTCATTGCAATCAAGTGTGGGGTTGAAAGGCTTTTTTTTTGTTTCTTACAAACTTATAATCATTAACCTACCACATTTCTGTGATGCACTTTGCACAACACATTCAGCTCAGCGAAGAACTCCTTGGATTTGCTTGACTTCATCTTTTTGATGGCAACTTCCTGTGAACACAAAACTCGACTTTCAGATGTTCCTCCGCTTCGGGAATAAAGACTGAGCTTGAAATTTCGATTACCTGTGTTCCCAAGATTCCCAAATACACACTGCCGTACCCTCCTTCACCAATCTTTCTCGAATCGTGGAAGCTTGCTGTGGCTCTATCAACCTCTTCCAGACTAAACGTCACAGGCCTCTCTGACATGAATGTCGCGGTGCCTGCACAAGTTTCAAGCTATGAGGGATTGAGAACCAATGTGGAACGTTAGATTTATTTATTTATTTATTTATTTTGAAGAATTCGAATGCAACTCAAAAGGTTTTCTTTTTGAAGTTGTGGATCAAATATATTACAAGTTAAATAACTTCTTCGATCCTTAGTAATACTCTTTAATCCTTTCTAATATAAAACTATTCATTTCAATCCTTAGCAATTCTTAGTTTACTAAGCTTAAACCACTAAACATATATTATTATTTAACTCTTTCATTTCGCAAACATAAATATTTGTCATCTTTCTACACGTCTAGTTTGACTCTCTTTTCCTTATGGTTTACCTTCACCACTCTTGGATGGAAGAAGCTGGCTCTGCAAGGCTGTGATGAATCTTGCACTTGAGTTCTTGCTCACGGTTACGTTGAGACTCTCGGCGGTGGATTCGTCGCGTCTCCTCCTTCGGTAAAGCCAAATCGATAAACCACCGAACACCATGAATAGTACGGAGAGAGAGACGCCGAGGATTATTATTGCAGTCTTCTGCATTCCTGATTCTAATGATCAACATAATTTTATTAGTAGAATATTAGTCTGTGAAATGAAGAGGGAAATATGACTAAGAAAAGAGTTTTGTCGTACAAAAATTTAAAGAATCAAATAAAATATATTCGAGTTGGATCATAACTTAACAATAGAACTCAATATATTTATGAACTCTAATAGAAAAAGGATGAATGATTTATTACATTAACTTTGTAACCAATAATCAAGAAACTTAAGTTGTTGGAAAAAGGATTATTACAAACTTTAATGGGAAAAGATGAATAGTTTATTATACTTCAACATCCTTTGCTTTTTGTGTTAATCTTGATCTTATTTTGTGAATTAGATATACTAATTTAAACCTTAAATAATCTAATTAATCTTGGATTAATATGTGTCTTCCTTATAAATATAAATATAATCCTAACATCAAGAAATTAATGTCCTCGGCTACCTTTACCTTTGGGAGGAGGAGGAGGAGGTGGTGGTGGTGGTGGTGCTGGTGGCGAACCATGCACGCCCATGGGCACAAACAACAACTGCCCGGGATTCAAGAAGTCGGGATTCGGCATCAGCTCCGGGTTCATCGCCTTGATCGCCTCGACGTCCGAGTCCAACAGCTCGGAGATGGACGTCAGCGTGTCGCCGGACTGCACCGCGTACGACACGACCGTCGTCTCCGAGCACCCGCAAGGGAGGCGCACGGTGATGCTCGCGAAGTCGGTGATGTTCTCCGGCACCCGCCACGCCAGCCCGCTGAAGACCACGTCCGTGACGCCGCTGGCCGTGTCGTGGGGCTGCACCAGGTACACGGTGTCGTGGAACAGGGCCGTGGCGTTGCCGGCCGCCTCGCACGCGCACGGCACGGCGACCAAGAAGTCGGTCGCGCCCGAGGGGCGCCTGATGGGCTCGACGAGCGACGCGTCGGCGGAGTAGCGGGCGGCGGTGTCCGAGGCGTTGTGGCCGCGCGGGACGACGTAGAGGAAGGCGCTGCATGCGGGGACGGGAGAGGGTTTGGGGCACTCCATGGGGTTCACCGCTTGGACGTCAGCCTCGCCGTGCGGAAGGAGGAGGAAGATGAAGAGGAGGAGGGAAGTGTGCCACCAAACAGCCATGACCGGTTCTCAGACCTCAAAACGCTTATCTATACGTGTGTGGTGACGTTGTTGTGTCCGTCGGAGTGCCTTGGCCATGTATGGAACGTGGAGTTGATATCATCCACCATTGGCTCCTCCGAGCTTTGGAAAGACCGCTGCGTGCTGATGACCATTGTCTCGTTTCCTTGGATTTTTGTGAAGCAGATGGTTTCGGCCTTCAGAATAACTAATTGGAGTCATCTATCTCCATCTTTCTTCTTCGATTTTGACTCACTCGAATCAAATCCCTCAATATCTTCATCTAATTACTTACTATATAACGTCACTAATCCTTCTTGACCTTTTGAGATTTCTAATACTACAAGTTGACAATCCAACGCGCTCTAGTTATCCAAGAAATAGAGATTATGTTCATTAGGAACCACGAAGATGAGACAACATGCGCATGAACGAGATCAAACCATTCACGATCTCTCTATACGAGAAGATGGAATCCCAGGCCACGAACGCATATGCATGCATGTACACATGAACAACCCTAGACGACAACCTCTCTTCCTTAACTTTTCCTTCTGGTTTGCCTCGTCTTCTTCCCCGCATTGCTGTCCTGCGTCGTACTTGATCGCTCGCTGCTCCTTGGCGGGGGCGCAATCACCGAGCTTCGGGTATTGTAACGTGAACTGCAGGCACCAACGCGGATCTCCGTCGTCGTCGGGCCATGACTGCAACCGGCAGGAGGCGCCGGAGACCTCTCTGGCTGCTGCGTCCGTCCTCTTGGTCTCATTGGCAGGGGCGGCTGCTCTGCTACGGCGTCTCTCGGTCGGCATGCCGTTCCTGCAGCTTCTTCGGCGGACACCAACTGTTGAAGTAGGGCCTCATTCGAAGGGGTGATACGGCAGCCGATCTCTGCGACGGAGTCCTTGGGAACGCCAAGCGGTTCGTCGGCGGGGTCGTCCACTGCAGGCTCCAGGCTATCGTCGAGCTCCAGGTTTCGGAGGAAGAAGTCGGTTCTCATCGTCGTGAAAGGCAACAAGTACTAGGATGGAGACTTGAGGTGTTTTGGGAACGAGAGAGAGAGAGAGAGAGAGAGGCTTCGTTGCTCTTTGATGCCATTTTAATGTGACTACTAGTTATAGGAACCGTAATGCAGGTGCAAACAATGCTGAAATAAATGTACTCTGATTGAATTAGGAAGTCAACATATCAACATAGGTTCATGCCACTTACCAACAATGTTAACACGACAATAAAAAAATACTCTAAGAATATTAAGACGACAAAAACACTAAAGTGAACAAAATACTCCCTTAGAAAGACACTATTGGAATAACTTTTTTATTTCAATTTTACTCTTAGGATAAGGAATTCAAATACCAAAAAAAACATATTTAGGTAAAGAAATCTTGAAAATGTATAATGGTTTAGGATACGATATGCCTCATACGTCTGTGAGAAAACTTTGAATATTTTTAGACTTGGGTGAGATGATGTATAAGAAAATGTCTAAATTCCGGGGATTACTTATAGTTTGCTCATATATGATAAAGAATATATCTTTTTTTACATAAGTATATACTATAAGTATATACTATCATGCCCTCTTCCCCAAGACTTGCTTGACTTCAAATTTCTTTTCTAACCCTCATATTATCAAAAATTATTGACAGAGTTCGAATTCGAATGAAACTAACCAAAAATATTGGTAATATATATATATATATATATATATATATATATATATGTTATTATTATAGTTTATTATATTTTTATAAATATATATATTTATATGTTTATTATTATTGTAGAATCCACAGGGTCTTTGCATAAAATGAAAAAGAAGTTAATCTTTTAGTTTTTCTTCTGTAAAAAAATCTTTTCGAGTATTCTTAATAGGTTTTGCTTGGAGTGAATCTTTCTATTAAGCCATTGACTTGGTTACATTGAGTGTATTCACGATATTCCCCAATATATGTTTCTCGATACAAGTTTTCAAATTTTGATCAAATTCCGATCGATATCTGTTAGGTCCAGCTTATATATGGGCTTGGACAATCGGACATATTGAGTCCAAATCACTAATTGAAAGAAAAAGAAAAGAAAGGGCAAAAGGTGAGGGTAGCAAAATTATAACGTGAAGTGTACGTGTGTACAGTGAATGTGTGCGGCGACGTACAATAAGGTATTTGAGATTTCTATTTGTCGATCGATAGTCAAACGTTATCAGTTTTGGTTCAAATTTTATGTAGAGAATTCTTGCAGCAAACTCTATAATCCTAACGGTGTTTATCTACATTTTACCCTCTCTGAGGTATTTTCCTACTATATCCACTTTTTGAGACATAGAATTCTCTTACGAAGAAATCCGATGAAGATATGCTATTCTTGAGCTAATATTTATGATCTTGATATTATTGTGATTCTCTAGTTATTCTAGAGAAGACCTATTGTAAACCTGTTATCATTATTATTGACATTGGAAGTTTGAGGTGGACTACGGTCCCGTGGTTTTTCCCATATTGGGTTTTTCATGTTAAAAGATTTAGTCTCGTTGTGTGATTGATTATTTGCTCTATTGTTTATGCTGTGCTGGTTGATATTTTCATTTGGATATCAAGTTGGTATTTTAATGAGGAACCAATTTTGATACATAAAGAGGGAAAATAATATTTCGCTTTAACAAGTTTTTTCCCAACAAGTGGTATCAGAGCATCAGGTTGTTTGGTACTAGTTTTTCTTATGTGATCGAAATGGAGCAATCAGATGGTATGATTAAATTGAACTCATCAAATTATTTCACTTGGAGGCATCTGATGGAAGATTTGCTCTATTGCAAAGATTTGCATAAGCCTATCAAGGTTAAAGATAAACCTTCTACTATGGGACGATGAAGAATGGGAAGTTCAACATAGAAAAGTCATTGCCTATATTAGAAGATGGATGGATATAAACTTGCATGAGCATATTTCAGATGAAACCAGAGCTAATGTTGTTTGCAAAGGTTAGAAAATCTCTTTGCGAAAAAGATAGTGGGAAATAGAATTTCTCTCATCAGAATGCTTGTAAATTTTAAGTATAAAGATGGTGATAACATTGTTGAGCACATAAGCCTATTTCAGAGTCTTATAAATAAGTTGGTTGCTATGAAAATGAATATAGATGATGAGATGTAAGAATTATTACTTCTCAGCTCTTTACCAGAAAGTTGGGTAACGTATGTGGTGACTATTTGCAACTCCACGCCAGAGGGGACTCTAACTATAGATATGGTTAAAGACAGTTTGCTAAATAAAGATGCTAGAAGGAAAGAACATGGTGAATCTTCTTTTGATGCATTTGTTACTGAAAAACATGAAAGACGTGGAAGAAGTCATAGCAGAAATCCATATGGATATAGAGAAAGATCTAAGTCTAGAAGAAATATCAAATGTTTTCATTGTAACAGGCCAGGTCATATAAAGAAAGACTGTAGGTTTTGGAAGCGAGAACATAATGAAATGAAGAAAAATGAGAAAGAGACCAATACAATTGCTGTTGAAGATAATATCACTATTGTTTGTGATGAAGGTTATGTTAGTCTTGTAGCTCAGGACAGTAATTGGATAATTTACTCTGGTGCTTCATTTCATGTTACTTCTCATGGTGATTTCTTTAGATCATACACTGTTTGTGATTTTGGTAATGTCAGAATGGGAAATAATGGTACATCTAAGATTGTAGGTATTGGAGATATTTACTTGGAGACCAATATTGGGAACAAATTGATACTCAAAGATGTAAGACATGTTCCAGATATTCGTCTTAACTTGATATCTACAAGTAGACTTGATGATAAGGGCTTTGCACACTATTTTGGTGAAAGCAAATGGAAACTCACTAAAGGTTCTCTAATTGTGGCAAGAGGAAAGAAACTTAACTCTTTTTATGTCATGGAGCTAAGCTACACAAAGGAGAGATTAATGCAATTCAAAAAGATGAAAGTATAGATCTTTGGCATAAGAGGCTTGGACATATCAACGAGAATGAACTTCAAACTCTTGCTAGAAAGCAGTTCTTACCAGATTATAAGGTACATTTCTTAAATCTTGTGATCATTGCTTAGCTAAAAAAACACATAGAGTTGCATTTCATACATATCAATCATCTAGAAGATCGGATGTTATTGATTTAGTTCATACTGATGTTTATACTATGCAAACTAGAACTTTTGGAGGTGCTCTTTATTTTGTTAATTTTATTGATGACTATTCTAGAAAAGTGTGGGCTTTTGCTTTGAAATCTAAAGACTAGGTACTAGATGTTTAAAGAGTTTCATGTCAGTGTTGAAAGAGAGACTGGCAGAAAACTAAAGTGTATTCGATCAGATAATGGTGCCGAGTACAGGGGTCCTTTTGAGAATTATTGTAGGTTCCATGGTATCAGGCTTGAGAAAACAGTCCCTAAAACTCCTCAACAGAACGGTATGGCAGAAAGGATGAACAGAACAATTGAAGAAAGGATTAGGTGTATGCTTTCCCACGCCAAGTTACCAAAGTCATTTTGGGGGGAGGCTACGAGAACTACAATTGATCTGATAAATCTTTCTCCATCAGTTCCTCTAAAAGGTGATGTTCAGGTCCAAGCTTGATAGTAAAGCAAAAGCATATATCTTCTTAGGATATGGTCATGAAGAGTTTGGGTACAGATTATCGGATCTACTGAAAAAGAAGATTATTATAAGTAGAGATGTTGTGTTTCTTGATGACCAATTGTTTGATGATGGTGATAATGTTGAGAAGCCAGAAACCTCTATTTATATTCCTTAGAGTTTGGGTCCAGTTCCTTCACCTGTAATTCATGATGATCATGGGGGAGATGAACAATAAGATTGTGGTGAGAATGTAAGTGATTATACTCCTACAGTTGATGATGTTGAACCAACTGAACAAGCACCTCCATCACCAGTTGAGATTCCATTGAGAAGATCCATTAGAGAGCGACAGTCATCTACCAGATATCCTCCACATGAGTATATTATGCTT